GGGGTGGATGGATGCAAAAATAAGTAATTGCATTCCACTAATCTATCTGTTCATCCCCCAAAACCATCCACCCATGTGCCTGTCTATCCAACTATCCCTACATGCCCCATTCATCCATCTAGCTAGCTAGCTAGTCCATCCATCCTTCGCTGGACATCTCTCTCTATGTCCATATATGCCACACACGCTTGTCTGTCTGTCTGTTGATCTGTTCTGTTTGTCCCATCCATTCCTGGAATGCCCTATCTCTCCCACTAGCAAGTGTCCCAGGTCCTGCTCCGCTCCATTTCCCCCCCTCCCCACATATCCCCCAGCCCCATCTATGCCAGGGGCTGCAACCTTTTCCCACCCATGAGTGATGCCCAGGTACCCTGGTGATGGGCCTGGATCTCCTGCGGGAATATCTCCCCTCACCTAGCTGGTCCCAGATGGGGAATAGTGGAGGGTGTTGCTCTTCCAGCCTGGGCTGCACTGCACAGGATTTCTGGCAGGAGCTGCCGGGAGTCTCTTCCACACCCGCTTCCCTAGCCCAGCCCTGCGGGCTCCTATCCCACAGCCTTAACACTTTCATGGCCAGGCAGGAGAGACTAAGGCTGGGAAAAAGAGACCCAGGAGTCTGGGAGGGGCCCCCATTCCCTGGTGGGGGAGAACAAGAGAAGACATGCAACCCAGGAGTCCCTGTTCTCAATGGGGAGAGACTTTGTAGGGGAATGGGACCCAGGCCTCCAGGAAGCAACTCAGGCCACTATGAGTACTGGTCCCTATCTGATGGCAACACTGCAGATAACAACCTTTGTTTGGGAGCTTGCCTGTCACCCAGCCTTCACAGGGTTAACTAGAGGGAGGGGAAGTCGCACCTACCCCATGCACCCCACCCAGAATGGGCCAGTCTCTGAAGTCCTCCCTTTCCGTGTCCCACCAAGTCAGGGGAAATAACCCAGGGGCTGCTTTCCTTGGCCTCCACCCTAGCTATGCCCTCCATCCTGACTCTGAGGCCTGTGTGGATATTGGGGGCTGGGGGTCAGGAGTGAGGGGGGCCAGCAGGGCTTGGGGTGGGGGGTAGGGCTGGTCTCAGTCCTGTCTCTCAGATAAAGGGATTTAGTGTTGGAGTAAGATGGGACACCCTGCACCCCCCTTCCCACAGGAGGCCTCATATCCTCTGACTACTCCCCCAGGCACCCCACTGTGAAAGACTGATGGCTGCCTGCCAGGATTCACTGCTGCAGAGGAAGCTCACAGGATGGGGTCCAGCTCGGCTCCAAAATGGGGGGACGTGGAATACGCGCCAGCACACAAAGGACAACTACAGATGCACAACACAACACAACACACAATACCAGCTGGAGAGAAACAAGAAACATGCAATCACAGGTGAAGAGAAGCAATGCCCCCCCACCCCCACACACTATGTATGACTCTTAAAACAGGGAGTCCTGAGTCCTACCCCTAGCTTTGCACCAGTCCCTTGGCCCTTTGTGACTCAGTTTCCTTACATGGGACAAGATGAGCTCCAAAGCAGTCCTAAGGGATGGAGAACCCCAAATCCTGTTCTCATATGTGATGAGGATGTGCCCAAATCCCTTAAGCAGCTTGGCTAGTCCCTGCTGCCAATGCCTGGAAGAGACAGGAGCTCTGCCAGTGGGAGGAAGCAAGTTGGAAAGTGCTGGGACTGAGGTCAGGGGCTGACCCACCAACCAAGTCACTGAGGGGCCTGGAAGACAAGTGGGAGCCATCAGCCATTAGACAGAGCTGGTGGTTTGGAGAGCTGGGCACCCTGCCGTGACCACTTCCCTCGGAGGAAGAGCTCCCCCTGCCCTGCTGGTGCCCGTCTCCTGACTCATGCCTCCCTGCCCTCCTCAGCCCTGCCTGTGACCCCTTCTCCTGACCCGCAGCCCCTCCCAACTGGAATTCCTCATCTTCCAGTCACTTGGCAGAGACCCAGGCAACTCATTTCACTGTTGGCTGCCTCCTGTGACTGTGGGGAGGAGATGAGCTCACTTCATGCAATTCTGTCTGTACTATTCAGAGCCAAATGGAGAGGGACAGAGCAGAGAGGGAATTACTGGGCCATAATGGTTTACTGGAAATGCACCCATCTCTCCTGGGACTGCTCTAATGGAGTCCACTGAATGACTCAGATGGAGCAACGTGTGACCTGTCCCTCTTCACCAGCACCGTCTCCCCCACACCACCTGGGGAAGATGAGTGCATTCCCACCCCACCCTCAGCCACTGCCCCCTCTCAAGGAATAATGTCACCAACCTGGGGCCACTCCTGGCTTGGCTGGCTTCTGGGCACAGCAGCAAAATGGCTCTGCAGGATGCTTGGGTTTGTGTCCTAGCCCTGCAGTGGGGGCTGGGCTGGGAGGCAGGACTCCTGGGTTTTGGGAGGGGAGCAGGGCTTGGCAGGGTGGGAGTCAGGTCACCTGGGTTTCATCCCTGGCTGCCAGGACTAATTGGTAGGAAAAAAGCTGGGAGGTGGGGAGCTAAGACTGGTTCTACTCCCTGTATCAGCAAGGCTCCTTCCTGGTCTAGCCCCTCCCTCATGAATGTGGCATGTGATGAGAGGGAGAGGGGCAGAGGAGACCACAGGGCCAGACCTGTGGGACTGGTTGGTCCAGTTCTCCCTGCCTGGGACCCTGGGGAAATTTCTCCCTACACTACACCCTCTCCACCAGTCCTGCCCCATTTCCTCCCTCAGCAACCCCCTTTATGCACGCACAACTTCAGTTAAGAATAAGGACTCATCAGGACACTCATATTGCATGGGTGGCTAGGAGCCAGGACGCCTGGGTTTCATCCCAATTCTGGTAGGACAGCGTGATCTTGGGGGTATTGCAGGTGTATGAGCCAGGATGCGTGGGTAATATTCCTGGCTCTGAGAGGCTAGGAGGTAAAAGAGGGAGAGTGGGGGATGGGGTTAGGATGCCTGAATTTTTATCCCAGGTCTGGGAGAAGAGTGGAGTCTGGTTAGAAATGGGCAGGGCTGGAAGGCTGCCACCACCGCTCTTCTCTTGGTGCCATCCTCTAATTACTGCTTTCCTTGTCTACTGGGAATCCTGAGCAATTATTTCCCAGCTACTAACGCACTGCTAGCTCAGGCTGGCAGCTTGTAAAAAGGCACAAGGCAGGGAGTGAGGAGCATGGCTGAGGAAAGCCTAAGGCTGTGGGGTAAGGGAGTATGGGTCAGGGATAAGGGGCACCAGCAGGGCTGGGGAGCAGGGGAATGTGGGTCAGGAGTGAAAGGCACTGGCCGGGCTGGGGAGAGTCCAGTGCTCAGTGGGCTTTGGGTGAGGATTGAGGGGCATGGGCTGGCTGTGTGTCCCGGTGCCAGCTTCCCACACGTCACAGGAAGGGCTTGGCTGGCAGATAAGCCCCAGCGACCTGCAGGGAGGACGGTGGAGGCTGGGGCTGGCACGAAGCAGCGGCTCCATGGTTCCTTCCTTCCTCTTGACCTGCTCCGGCTGCTCCCTGACCCGGGGCCCAGCCAAGGCATGAAGACCACACGTGCCTTCCTGTCTGGGGCGTGTGCCAAGGAGCAGCCCGACACTCTCCACACACTCCACTCCCGGGGTCTAGCCAGAGGCCCCAGCCCCAGCCCTAGACCCATTTTCTGCCAGCTGGGACAAGCAGATACTTGCTCTGCTCACTCACAGTCTGTACCTTCTTGATGTCTTTCCTTCCCATCTAAAACTCCCTTATCTCTCTTTCTTTTCCTCCAGAGATGTGGAAATTATAGAAGGGGGGGGGAGTAATATAAATAAAAGAAAGAATGCGACAGAGGAAGGATGGAGAGAGAAAGGATATCTTTGGATTGAATCGTGTACCTAATGGTTTTGGAAAAAGCAATGTTTTCTGTCTATCTATCTACCTACCATCTACCTACCTACATACCCACCTATCTCTTTCCCCCATTATCTATCTTCCTCTTTTCATCCCTTCACCCTTTCTCCCATTCTGCTTTCATGTTTTATCTCTGTATTGATCCACATTTTTATTTCATTCTGTATCTGGCTGCCTTTCCTGGTTTTCTCCTTCATGTTTGATTTCCTTCCTCCTATCTTGTGCCGTCTTTTTTTGTTTTTGGATCCATCCAACTCTCCATCTTCATACACGATCCTCATACACATCCCCTCTCTCTCAGCCTGCCTGCCCCTTCTCCTCCCCTCCCCTCCCTTCTCTAGGGTTCTTCCACCTCCCTTGTGTTTTCTTGCTCCTCTCCTCTCCCCTCCCCAGTCTGAAGACAAACAAGATACTGACCTTGTCTGTCCCCTTGGGGCTGAGCCCTTCTCTGGGCTCCCACTAACCCAGTTCCCCCCAAGCCTTACCCCCCCTTCCGTTGGCTCTGAGTAGGGAGGTGGCCCCCAGTGGTGGAATCTAGTTGGAGCAGATGCGCCAGGGGTTCCACCCAGCCAGGGTAACACCGCCTTCTTGAATTGAAGCCCGGCAAAGCCAGATGCCTCCAGCACAGCCTTCCCCTCTACACAGACACCCCCATGCTTAGTCAGCCACCCCAATTATGCAGACTGCTACGGTTCCTCCCATCTGACAGGACACTTCCCTCCCTAGCCAGGGAGACTGAAGGTTAGACATGCTATGGGTGCTACACTGTCCAGTGTAGGAGGCATTTTGTGAGGGTTGGCATGTGTGTGCGCTCAGTGTCTTCTCCTTTGCACTTCCCCAGAGAACTGTAACCCGCAGAGTGTCCAGTGGCTGGTCATCTCATTGCCTTTCTTTTTCTTTCTTTGTTCACCTTTCCATCCAACTCTACCTGTTCATTCATTTCTTCATCCGGCCATCCTTCCATCCATCCATCTTTATGTGTTAATTCATTCATCCATCCATCCTTCTCATTTCCCATCCTTCCATTTTTATCTCTTCATTCTTTCTTTCATCCATCCATCCATTCATCTTTCTCTATGCCGTTAATCCAGCTTCCTTCCTTCCTTGCTTCCTCACCCATTATGAAAGTTGTGTATTCCCCTTATGAAATACCAAATCTCTCATTACAAAGCTTGTCTCATGTATTCACATCGCTGATTCCATGTTGGTATTACAAAACCATTCCATTTAGCACAAAAGCACCATCCCCCAATGCTGGTTTTTTTACCCCTTGAAGCAGTAGAGGGGCAGGTCGGGGGGCTAGCTGGGAGTATGGTACTCTCCCAAGGGAGAGCTCTTTGTACCAAAAATAGGGCCTTTGGGGGTTCAAGGGGGCTGGCTGTTAGATATGCCAAGATGAGAAGTATGCAAACTAATGAAGGGGGCTTTGGGAGATCAACAGGTTGACCCACCCAAGGGAAGATTGCTGTAGCCTCCATCACTTCTTCTTGGGATTTTTCTTTAGCTTTTTCGTTATTTTCATGAAGTTGTCGTTTCCAATTTGGATGCCTGTGTTGTTGCCAGAGAAGAAAATGGGATTTCCTGTAAGAGAGATGGAAACAAGGAAGTGAAGAGAGACTGAGGCAGAGACCAAAGGAAAGACAGAAGAAAGGGGTCTATGGAAAGAGAAGCATACGGGGAGGATATAGGGTGGATGCAAGTGTGGATGTCTTTCCCCATTGGGAAAGATGAATCCTGATGGGTAAAGACAGACAGACAATGTACATGGCAGTGGTTCTCAACATTTTTAGACTCAAGGTACTCCTCAGAAAACGCCAACTCTTATTTTTCACTCATTTCTTGATTACAGAAAAATAACAGAGCTATTCTTTTGTTTGTAAGAGCTCAGAAAGACCACAATAGGTAAGAATATTTTGTTACACTGATTCCTATTTTAAAATTTCAGGGTTCATCTTGTGAACCATATGTAGGTATTTGCACATCTAATGGTACTAATAATCTGTGATGCTATTGAAAGGATCTCTCACCACCCTGGTTTCTGGAGATGGATGGATGGATGGATGGATGGATGGTGGGGAAGCTAAAAGTAAAGAAAGTTTGGATGGGAATAAACCAGAAGTGGGCATAATGTGGCCCACGGGCTGCATCTGGCCCACCAGGGAATTTTGTCCAGCTTTTCTCACCCAGCCCAATTACTGACACTGTTGCTGGGGAGGAGAGGTGGGGATGCTGACTCAGTCTGCAACACCTCATCAAAACTCCCTACATGGTCCACGGGCCCAATAATTGCCCACTCCTGAAATAAGCAGACAGGCTGTGTATATAGGGGTGGATGGATGCATGAAGGGGGTTATGTGGGGCTCTGTAGGTAGGGAATACTTGGGGTGCATGGGGACTGGAAGAAGAATGGAAAGAAGGCTATGCTGCCTCTGGGCCCATCTTTCTTGGGGGAAACAGAACCTTCCTTGGGAGCGACATGCTGGATCCTTAAATCTCTCCACCCCTCACAAGGAGCCCCTTCCCCCATCTTGCCAGCTGTTTCTAGTGTCCTCAAGTCCCCAGGTGAGTGGGGCAGTGGTGCCCAACCTTTGCTTACCTGAATAAACTGGCAGCTGCAACAGACCGAAGAGTGGCAGGAATGGGAGAAAGGAAGAGAGAACATGGCACAGTCAGCTTGGAGGGGAGCCCCTCTCCATATCTCTGTGTCCATCCCCCAAGCCCTAGACCCTCGCCCTGCTTTCCATCAGCCCTCTTCCACCTCACCTACAGACCCAGCCCATAGGCATCTGTTTCTCCCTGGACTCCAACTCCACCAGCCCTATAGCTGCCCCCTACATTACCTCCTTTTCCCTTTCCTTTCTTATGTACTCCTCCCTCCTCCTGGCCCAGGATACACACATACCTGGTAACTGTTAGAGCACACAACCCCTGGGTAGTAACATGGCCACTGGGTGGGGAGTTGCATTTGTGGCAGGTTGGGGTTGGAGAGAGGCCTTCCTGGATAATCTGGGGAGGAAGAACATTTTGAGTTAAACTTTCCAGAGCACTTTCTCTTTAAGGCTGGAATTTTTCACTGCCAGACCCTGTCCCTCATGGACACCTCCCCTTTAGGAAGACTTTCTCACCACCAGCCTGTCTCTTGTGGGCATTTTCCTTTTAAGAGTAGTTTATCATTGCCAGGTTCTGTCCCCACTTCCTCCCCGACCACCCTCCCACCTCCCCAGGTGGTTCTCCTTTAAGAGTACCTCTTCACTACCAACCTCTAGTCTTCATGTAGATTTCCCCTTTAACAGCAGAGTTTCTCACAGCCAAACTCTGGCCTTCATTTATTCTTAAAGGGGAATTTACTTTTAAAGGGGAATTTCTCCCTGCCAAACTGCAGACTCCATCCCTCATGGACACATCACCTTTAAGGGGGCAGTAAAGTTTCTCTGCCAGCCTCTGATCTTCATGGATGTCTTCCCTTCATAAGGATATAGGTTGTAGCCGTATTGGTCTACAGGCAAAAGGAATCAGAACTCTGGGTAGAGGTGGTATCTTTTATTAGACCAACTAGATATTTGGAAAAAAAATGTCTGCTTTTGGGCACGCTCACCTTCTTCAGGCATAGAACAATGCAAAGATTGTAAAATGTCTCCGAGGTGGAAAGGAAAATTCAAATGAAATTCATTTTCATTTCCACCTAGGATAAATTTTACAATCTTTGCATTCTCCTCTGGGCTCAGGATGAATATAAGGAAAAACATCTTCATGGTTCGTGTGACCAGACTCCCAGTAGGGCGGTGCAGGCACCTAGCCTGGGGATCTTCAAACGGAGACTAGGCACACACCTTGCTGGGGTTATTTGACTCCACCTGTCTTTCCTGCCCAGAGCAGGGGGGCTGGACTTGATGATCTCATGAGGTCCCTTCCAGACCTAAACTTCTGTGAATCTGTGAATCCTATGTCTGAAGAAGGGTGTGTGTCCTGAAAGCTTGCAAATAAAGACAAAGGGTTTTTGAACCCGAAAGCTTGCTTAATAACTATTCTCCAACCATTTGGGTTGGTCTAATAAAAGATATCAAATTCACCCAAGGAACCTTGTCTGCAAATAAAGAATTTTTTTTGCAACTATCTAGTTGGTCTAATAAAAGACATCACCTCTACCCAGAGTTCTGATTCCTTTTTCTTTTATAAAGTTTTTTTGCAGCCAGATTGCAAATGTCACTGATTTCTCTTGGTTAACAGGCTCTTAAAAGGGAGTCTCTTTCTGCTGGGCTCTGACTTCCCATCTGTACTACTGGCAAGAGACCTGCTGCCCCCTTGTGATCAAAGGTAAGTACTGCAAAAGTGGTGTATCCTAAGTAGCCTCCTGACTCCTCCACCTTTGGGCCCAGCCAGGATTTGTAAAGACAGTACCTGGAGGCTTCATATGAGTGTGAGTTATCCTCTGGCTGTCCAAACCTCCATTATTTAGTTCTTCAGTTTCCTTGAAAGAGAAAAATAAAAAAAAACAAAGTCTCATAGGATATAATTTTAGGGACTTCTCTCCTGCTGCAGGTATTTTTGGGGTGGGGAGTGTCAGGGCTGTTTATATAGAGTTCCACTACCCAGTGCTATAATGCAGCCACCTGTGGAGTCGGCTATATTGGGGGCTTGTTGTCCAGTACTGAAATACAGCCTGGCCTGGGGTGAGGCACACTCAAGCATGTTGATACAGCAGCCCCTGGGCTGGGGCACAGCCCCCAAACAACATAGGGATGGCTTTCCCAGTTCTGGCTGGGAGGGCATAGTGACTCTTAGTGAACCGCAAACACTCCTTGGTACTGGACATCCTCCCTTTACAACATGAGATTACAGGCAAACCCCACTTAACGCTGTTTTGCTTAGCGCTATTTCACTATAACACTTGTTTTACATTCATACTTGATTCCACTTAACACTCAGCGAGTTTTGTTATAACGCTCATAGGCATTGAGCAGGGAGTGTATGCTAGCACCACAGCGCATCAGTGGTACGCAGCCTTATTGTGCAATTTAGCCAGCCAGCACCCGGAGTGACTGTGGCTGTGACCGCCCCCTGCCCCCACTGCCCGGCATGGAGGGGACCAACAGCACCACCTCCATGAGCTGGCCCTGCTTTATCAGGTGCTCACATTGCTGCTGCTGAATGCCCTGGTAATGAATTATATTTATTTACATTAATTCCTATGGGAAAATGGGGTTCATTTAACACTGTTCTGCTTAACGTTTGTTTTTTTTGGGAACCAATTAAGAGCGCTAAGCAGGGGTTGCTGGTACAGGAATCGGCACCACCAGCGGAGGGATACCACCCACTTTCGGCTCCCCTGCCTTGCCCACTGAACCCTCTAATGTCTCTCTGGGCCATATGGGTCAGCACAATCTCTGATCTCCTCCCAAAAGGTCTCCTGACCTATCTAGGTCCTGACCCAGACCAACCCTGCTTAGCATAATAATCTGTATCCTACCCAAAGAAGAAGGCTGCTACTTACCTGTGATAGGATAGCACACCCGCTCTGTCCTCTCTTTAGCATTCTTTCTTCCTCAAAGCCTGGCGGTATTGCCTCTGTAGGGACACAAAGTCCCCCATCCCCTATGAGTCACTCCCACCATATTGGGGATGCCCTGTCCTCCCCCACACATTCCCCCAAAACCGTCACTGAAGGCTTTGTAGCCCCACAGGCGGGTAATTCAACCCCAGCATCCAGCTGAAGAAGTCCCATCTCTCTGACTGTGTGGGTACAGGGAAGTAGGAGTTGTTCCTGTGTGGGTACAGGAAAGGTAGGACTTCCTCTCTTGCCACCTACTTTGGGTGGGATTTACTGTGCCGGCCCTCCAGAGGTGGGACTTCCTGTGTTGCTACATGGTCAGGCAGGTCATTTCCTCCACTGCCATGCCTTGCCTGGTCACTTGGAGGTAGGCTTCCTCTCCTGCCACTCAGAAGTCATCACTTTCCATAATGCCACTACAGTATGTAGACTTCTACCCTGGCCACAGCAGAGAGGGCACTTCCTGTCCAGCCATGCTGGAGCTGGGAATTCCCCCTGCACCACTTTTGATGCAGGACTTCCTGTCCCACCCACCTCCCAGGTGGGATACTCGCTGCACTCATGTCAGACATGGGAGTCCTTTTGCAGACATGGTGGAGGTGGGATTTGCAGTTTTCATGGCCAAGGTGGGGTGGGGGCTGAAGGTAAATACTCACCATTTTCTCTGGATGGTAGTTCCTCAAAGTGAAGGCTCTGGAATTTCTCGGAGATCCCAAGGGAGGCTGCAGGCAGCAGAGAGTCATGGAGGCCTGAGCTTTCAGGAGCAGAAGCAGCACCAACACTTTCAGAAGTTTGGTAATCCTTCCCAGAATAGCTGGCAGCCGGGGCAGGACATCCAGGGTTCAGGGTGGGGGACCCTGGCTTTTTCAGCATGTCCTGGACCATGCGGACAGCTTGTGTGATGTGGGCATTGTGGTAGGAGAAGATTTTCTTTGTTTTGTCACTGCAGTCTGGATGAGAAGGAGAGGTCAGATGCCCTTAGTGCCATGCCGGTGCAAGTGAACTCCCACCTCCCCAAGGGAGCCCCTATCCTGGCCCCTGCAGCTTTCAGTGGATGCCATAGCCACTGACTGCAAGAGAAAGGCCTCCCTACTGAGTCTCCATCCTGCTCTATATAGCATAGTGCCCCATAAATCCCCTAGTATGGCAGCATAGCTCCTTTAGTATGGCTTCCCCCAGCGAGCATCCCCTTCTGGTTCCTAATCCCTGCAGCACAGTGCCCGCTAGTACTTCCTTAGGGTATCCAGGCCACCCCGTCTGCTAGGGGGCTAACCTTGAAAGGTGGGTCTCTGAGAGCATTCCTGGTCCCAGCATGACTTCATTAACTGCTTCATGTCCTCCAGGCCTGCCACACCAGTGATGGTGTCCAGCTTGGTCATGTCAGGCCTTTCTCCTTCAGGAATGCGTAGCTGGAAAAGGAAGCTCTTCCACTTAGGATGGACATCTGGGGACAGGGGAAGAGAACAGCTGCGTATTGGGAATATCCCCACACGGTGGGTAAGTGACATTGCAACCATGCTCTGATGCTTCCCTCTAGTTAAAGACTTTACTGCAGTGAAGAGACAACTGTCCCCCAGTGGTCACAGGTGACCTGCGTAGTGCCCGAAATCTGTGAACTATTCTGATGGCATAGTTAGGGAAGTTTTAGAGATGGCACAAGTGCAAGCTCCATATCATTTCAGACCTGCATGACTGTGAGTTGCCGCTACAGAGTCTGATGAGCGGAGGCGTGGAGACGGTAGGCAGGCGATAGGATGGGAGGGAGGCTTGTAGCTCTGAAGTAGCCTCCCCAGGCTTTCTGGGCCGGCTGAAACTGACCCTGGAAGGGACCTCGTGAGATGATCGGGTCCCGGCCCCCTGCTCTGATACAGAGGCTCCTTGTTCACAGTTGGGCCACTGGGGCTTGAGCCTTGGTGGCCCCACTCAGTGCGGAGTTGCCATGGCTTGTGCAGACCAGAGAGACCTGGGAAAGCTGCTTTTTCTCAGATGCTGGGGTCTGGCTGAAGATGATTTGGTGGTGACCCCACTCTTAGTGCAGACCTACAGCTTGGCTAGACCAGAGAGCAGGGCTGGATGAACCCTTTAGTAGGCCCTAGGCAAACAAACTCATGGGCCCTGGGCTGTTCGAGACCCCCCACCTCCTCCCCACCCTGGCACTGCTGCCCATGGAGAGTGTGGCTCCGAGGCATGGCAGCGGTGAGGCCAGTGGAGGGGAGGGGAAGGGAGGCAGATCGGTCCCTTTGCACCACCACCACAGAGGGGAGGACCAGGGAGGACCCCTTGCAGCTCAGGGCCCTAGGCATGTTCCTAGTTTGCCTACTCATTAATCCGGCCCTGCCGGAGAGCCCCAGGGAAGCATGTTTCCCACTGCCTTTCAGGTCTCATCGAAACTCAGTCTCCTGGCAGTGAGGCCACGTGGCCAGGGGAAGGAGGCTTCCCCAGCTCCATGGTCTCTCTGCAATTAAGCTTCTCAGAGCAGTTGCTCTCAGAGGGAAGCGGGGGGCGGGGAAGGCTACTAGAGTTTTGGAGGGTGGGGACAGGGAGAGCAGCTGAGAACTGGGCATCCTGGGGTGCTGAAAGAGTGAAAGTAAAACATTTTACCACCCTTGACCATTCAAACAATACCCTGGAACAGCACGACTAAAATGTTTCCCAGATCAACCCCGCTTTCAGTGACTTATCTTGAGAATGTTAAGAGCATACTTATGATGGATTAACATCCTTTAACAGGTGAATGTTTGCATTTTAATTGGCAGCATGCAGCCTTAAGGTAATTATTTATATAGGGATCCCCCCCGCCCCCTTCCCCCCCGTGGGACCCAGTTTGAATACTGCTGGCTAACGCCCTAAAACACCTAGCTCTTCTGGACCTCCTTGCAATACTAGCCATGTTCCTAAGAGGGTTTTCCCACAGATGTGCAGAGGGTGCCCTATTGAAACCAAAAACATTGGATCCCCCCACCCCCACATACCCGCCGCCCTCGTGGAAGGATCAGAGAATCAAACGGGGCTCAGTGGCCTCATGCCTACTTCAGATGTGACAGGAAACATGCTGCTTCACCGCCGGTAAAACCAAGGCATGGAGTAGTGATGTGATTTTCTACCTTTTGTGTCAAGAATCTGAAGCAGAGCTGTTTGTTCATTTCTTTACCTAGGTGTCTGACCCCAGCTTTCCTGCAGTGACCCATTAGAGCTCAATCCCCTTCCTGGATCCAGGCCCTGTCCTGATCCTGTCCTGGATCAGACCCCTGTCCTGATCCTCAGCCTCCCACTGCTCCACCCTGCACTGGATCCTACGTTCCTTCCAGAGCCGGGCATAGTACCCAGAAAAGGAGGCCTGGCTCCATGGAAGAGTGACCCCTAGAAAAAAACCCTGTCTGGCTCCCCCAAGCACAGTACCCCTGAGTGCTACAGTAGGTTATCTGGGTCAGCACCTCCTACTGAGCCACCAGTCAGGCGTCTCTATGCATCTTCCATCTAGCAGAGCTGGATGATCCACTGTAAGACGTATTTATCAGAAGATGCCCACACACACACACACACACACATATTTGCTCCAACGAAAATAGTCTAGAATGGGGATGAAATACATCAGATTCTATTTAATCAAATCTGAGACATTTTCAAAAAAACAGATTAAATGACCACATCCTTTTTAAGATTTTTAGGTGGAAACCACTAGCCCACTGTCCAGTTTTTTATCTAATCAAGCATCCACCTCTCTCTCTTTCTATCCCTCCATTTTCAAGTTTTATACTTTGTCCCCTGTCTATACATCTCTAAAGTTTTTTTTCCAATTTTCCACCTGTCTTTTTTGCCTATTCATCCACCCATTTCTCCATCCATGTTTTTCCACCAAACAATCCTCTTTCAACCCACATCCAGCAATGCATCCATCTGCCCATCCACCATCTCTCTGTATGTATCCACTTTTCCATCAAGCTAACCCCTCTCTCTCTCTCTCTCTCTCTCTCCATCTCTTTCCGTAACCATCCATCTCCAATAACTAATTTCCCTGTTGGCCTATAGCATCATGTCTCCCCTCTTCCCCTCTCCTTGTGCCCTGCTCTGGTGTTTATCCCAGACCCCAGGTTGCCACTAATTACTGTGCCCCAGCATGAACCTCTATGTCTTAAATCAGGGGTGTCAAACATAAGGTCGATAGGTCTGTTCTGGCCTGCAGAAATGGGTTATCAGGCCCATGGGGCTTTTCTCTTGGTAGCTGACCCACTTCTGGATTTGGCTTGCTGGGCTTCTTGCTATGGCTTCCAGAGTTGCTGTGCTAGCATGGCCACTACTTAGGGAATGAATGCTACTTCTATTCTTATCCATCACCAAATTTCTGGTTTCTGACTGTTATCTGTCATGCAAAAGGGTGGGGGGAGAGGCAGGGCTGCAGCAGCATTAACCCCTATGTGCTGCCTCAACGCTGAGTCTCCAGCAGCCAGGGCAAGAAACCCTGCGTTCAGAATCTGGCCCTTCCACTCATTTCAGTTGGACATCCTTGGCCTAGATGCATGAGCTTGCTGCCAACTGCTGGACTGACTAAGATCTGCACCTCCCCGAACAAGGCTGATTGAAAGGAAGGGGTAAGTAATGTCCCACCTGGGTATGGTTCTTCCCCAGTTAAAACAGACCAGGTGAGGATGGCGTAACTGCAAAGAGCAAAAGGCATATGAGTCAGGATGGTGCCCCTTGCTAGTGTCCCCAGCTCTATTGCCTGCAGCAAAACACCCCTTGACAAGGCCCCCTCTAAACCCCTCCCCTGAGACCCTAAACCCACTCCCTATGGCCCAGCACCCCATAGCACAACCCTGGGCCATCCTCGCATCAGCATGGTCCATCCAGCTCAGTGACAGGCAGAGGAGCTGGGCCTCCATCACCTGTATATATCTGTGGCTTGGGTTGGCTTGTAATTGATATCATCCAGAGCTTCGGGCGGCATATACTCCAGGGTCCCTCCATGATCACTTCCTTCCTCCGACCTCGCTGCCTTCAATTTGGTAGTCCCTTGCTTGAACTTGGACAAACCAAAATCTGCCAGCTGCAAGGGAAGAGCAGAAGAGAGGGGAGATCAAGGGGTAGGCAATGAGGTAGGGGGACTTTTCCCTCCAAGGGGTGCTGGCTTCAGGCTGAGGGCACTGGCTGACTGAGACAAGTGGGAAACAGGGTGGGGAATGGATAGGCCATCCTTACCCGGACACTGAGGTTTTCATCAAGGAGGACATTGCTGGGCTTGAGGTCCAGGTGGAGCAGGGGTGGTTTGAGGCCATGCAGGTAGTTCATGCCCAGTGCTACCTGATGGAGGAATTGGAAGCGCAGGGCCCAGGGCACATGCTGGATCTCCTCCTGTAGTCTGGCCAGGCTGCCATTCTCCATGTACTCCATGACAATCCCGAACTGTGAATTGGGGTCCCTGCTGGCCTGCGTCTTCAGCTCACAGAGACCAAAGAGGCGGAGGACATACAGGAAACGAGCTCTGTCCATGGCCCGGGCTTCAGCCAGGAGCTCCTCGTGGCTGTAGGGGGAATACCTGCAAGGGGAAGGAGGAGACTTCAGGTTATAGGGAGGTGGAGAAGAGGGGCAGGGGTGTGTGACAGGACAGGAGGTTCCCAGTGGGACAGAGGAGGAGGAGGAGGAAGGAGCAGGTGGGTGTGGAGAGAATAGAGATGGGGATCCCCCTCCCCCACTCTTACTGCCTCATCTCCTTGATGGCGACTCGGATGTGCCACCGCTTGTGATTGGCCAAGTAGACAGTGCCAAAGCCACCGTTGCCGATAAACTTCATATCCTCCTCCAAGTCCTCATAAGGGATCCTCTCCTGGAATTCGCTGCCATTAGCCATGGCAGCACCTGGAGGAGCAGATAGGGTGGGCCTCTCAGTCCTGACCCCTAGCCCTGGGGTCTCCCCTCACCCAGCCCTGCCAGTGCCCCTCACTCCCAACCTGCAGCCCCTGGGCCCCTGGGCTCCCCGCAGCCCTGCCAGTGCTTCTCACTGCTGATCCACATTCCCCAGCCCCAGCCCTGAGCTTCTACTAATGCCCCTCACTCTCACTGGTCCCTTGTCCCCTCATCCTGGTGGTGCCCAGGTGGTACCCTGCAGCGCCTTGCCCCCTGCCTCTGCCAAAACCCCTGGCTCCCAGTGTGCAGCCCCTGCCCTCTGAGACCTCTCACTGCCCCTTGCTCCCAACCCACAGCCCCCACCCTGCCTTGCAAATGCCCCTCACTCCTGCCCCGAAGTATCTTGCACAGCAGCTTGCTAGTGGCCCTTATTCCTGACCCCCCCCGCCCCCCTGTCCTTTCTGCCCTGAGTTCTCAAAGCACGGTACCATCCATTACCTTTGCTGCCCTATCCTTGGAGCAGAGCTTATGTGTTTCACCTCAGACTTGCAGGTCCATTCCCCTCTCCCTGCTTCATTCCCTTCTGCCCCAAGTAACTCTTTTTAGGTCAGTGCTGTGCCGGGCGCTGTAGGGCTGACTTCCTGGTGCCTAAACCCAATATCTCGGCTCATGTGACTGTGACACTGGAGGCGGAGACTAAAACTGAAAGGGAATTGAGCAGGGGGAGGGAGAAAGAGAATAAGGGAGAGAGAAAGGAATTGGTAAAGAGAGAGAGGGGTTTATGGGGTGGGTGGGTGGGTAGGGAGAGAAAGAGAGAAAGAGAGAGAGGCAGACAGCCAAACAGACTTTTTCAGTCTGTATTGTAAAAAGGTTAACAACAATCGATGTAAATGCAAGAGTACAGAGCTCCCCGGAGGGCTGGGTATAACAAACTCATCCCTCACACACCCATGACTTCCAAGGCTTGAAACTCCCTTCTGCCTCCCTAACACCCATCATGGGCTTATACCTTTAGGAGTATCTGGCCCTCTTGCACCATGCACGGTGCCTCGTTGATGTGCCTCAGTCACAGCATGAAATGCCCAAACTGAAAGGAGACACGTACCCAGACTGGGAACCACAGAAGGGACAAGGTCGCCAGCGCTAGTGGCCAGGGCTCCATGCAGCAGCCACCACTGGAAGTCACCAGTTTTCTGGGAGCTTGAACAGGGTGCTCCATAGTATGTGGGCTTGTTGTGGTGTTGCTGCTGGTAGATGCCACCTCCAGGTCATGTCAAGGCAGACACCAAGAAGGACAGTGGTGTGACCCACCCTGCCTGTCCATTCACACAGTGCCTTCCCAGACAGGAGCTCAAAACAGAGTCCGCTGTTGTTCTCATCGGATATGGGGAGGGACAGTAGGGTATCAGGCCTGCTCCACTCATTGCTGTCCTTGGCTGGGGAGGTAGACAGCAGTGGGGGGTGGAGATGGCATGTCCAATGTGATTATACATAGACAGACAGATCGATAGGCAAGCAGGCAGGCTGTTAGGGGGGTGTTTGAGGATAGATAGACCCATGGAAAAATGGATGGGAGGAGGAGGATTTGTGGAGTTGGTAGGGATTTGAGGGCGAGTTACAGTGTGTTGGGGTAGCTGGAGTTCAGCTAGAAGATAGGGAGAGCTGGGGGCTTTTGAGGGGGCTGAGAAGATCAGCTGGAGTGGGGATGGGTGTTACTGGCCTAGGGCAGGGACCCCCGGCTCTAGCTCCGAGTACAGCGGTGGTGTCATCCCACTGGGAAGGGGCAGCACCCCACAGAGCTCTCAGTGGTTCTTCTTCCATATCTAGGGCTGTGTTTGGCCCCAGTCCCTTCCTACTCATCACGTTCGTCCCTCCCCTTTGAGCTTGGGCTGGTTTCCATTAGTTTAATGGGAGCGAGTGAGGAGGGGACTGCTGTATGCTGTTTAAAAACGTCACTGACTCCAGGGTCATGGAAAAGGGAACTTGAGAGCCTTAACCCATTCTGGGCATGGAGAGCAAAGGGTGTGGGTCGGGGGGTGAAGGGCAACAGCTGGGCTGAGAAGGACAGGACTGGGGGGCAGAAGCGAAGAGCAGTAGCAGGGCTGGGGAATAGGAGGGTGCAAAATAGGAATGAGAGGCACCAGCAGGGCTGGGGGAGGCAGGGGGACTGTGGACTGGGGCACTGGTAGAGCTGGGGGAGCCCAGCACTGAAGGACAGGCATCTGTACAGGGTCAGGAGTAAGGGCTGGCAGATAGGGGATGGCTTCTGATTGATCCAAAATTCCCCTGATACCATTAAACACTTCCCCATGTCAGAGTAAAAGAGAAGAACCCATTCCAGTAGCAGAAATAAATCCACCCTGGCGTTTCTTTATAGCCAGCCTGATTATGGCACGAACAGGAGGGAGTCACTTGGACTCCTTTGAACTGATTTGTAATGGCAGAAGTTGGAGCAAAAACCATGAGTAAATTTTTCTCCTGGACTGGAATGGCCTAGAAATGGGTCCTTCTAGGGTAGGAGCAAAGACCTTATTCCACACCCCTTGAGCCAGCCAGTCTGCTGCCCTGGGGACAAATGGAGCGCCCCTAGAGCGGGGGGCCTATCAATATTTTACCCCACAAACACATTTAAATGAGAGATCCTGTTTCTTTAAATCTCCAGCTGGGAGATTCTCCAAACCCAAATGAAATCTATTGGGGGATGGAAGGGGGGGTGGGGTGGGGGTGTTCCTGGGCAGCTGTCCAATCAGCACCAGGGAAACTATTCCATCAGAGAGAGAGATGGAGGGAAAATGGGGCATGGCTAATTTTCTTTCCCCTCCCCCCATCTCATTCAGTGTTTTTATGGGGCGGGCCTAAAATTTTTGTGGGCGGAGGGGGCGTGGCTGGGAATCTCCAGTGGGCAAATGGGAAGGAGAGGCAGGGGAGATGGGGGCGTGGCTTGATGGGTGGGAAAAAAAAGTTTGGGAGAAGTTTTTATAGTAAAAGGGGAGAAAAAAATTGAGGCTGAGCAAGGGAAGGAGAGAAAGGAGGAGTGGAAGAAGGGGGTGAGGGTCACTGTGGGACACCTTTTAGTGTTCCCCCATCACAGCCCACCCTAGTGACCCCCACCACACACACACCCCACCCCAGCCATCTGCCATCCTCTCCCATGGGGGCAGCCAGCTGCGAGGACGAGGACCTGGAGTTCAAGCTGATTTTCGGGGAGGAGGACAAGGAGCCTGTGAGGATGGGGGTGTCGCTGGAAGGTGAGGGGTGGGCTATTTTGGGGGGACTGCTCTTAAAGGGTCATGGAAAGGGACAGCGGGGGGGATTTTTCTTCTTCTTCTTCCTTTTTTTTTTTTCCCATCAGTCGAGGAGCATGGAAAGTTTTGTCCTATTAAGGATGAAGGGAGGGAGGCTGCATCTCTTCCGCTGGGGGCTCTGTCTCCATCCCTCCATCCCAGGGGACATCCCTGGGCATCCTTAGGACAATAATAATAACAGTATTAAAAATGATGATGAAGATCATGGTAACGAGGTGTGTGTGGGAGAGTCTGTGATGCCTGCATGTGTGTGTCTGTGATTGTGTGTGTGTGTGTGTGTAATTCCAAGTAGTGTGTATGCACTAATTCTTGTTTGAGATTTTCAGCACATGTAAGGTACATCCGTGTGTATGTATGTCCATATGTGTTTTCCTGATATCCCTGTGTTCTTAATGTCCCTGTGTGTGTGTGCATATAGAACATCCCTGTTTGTGTGCAAAACTGCTGTGTGTGATCCCTGTGCATGTGTACACAAGAGCCTTAGGGTGTCACATACCTATGCATGTATGTATGCGTGTGCCTGAGACCCCATATATGCAAGCTATCCATACATGTGCATATGTGTGAAATCCATGTTTGTATGTTTGCTTTCCATATTGGTGAGATCCTGTGTGCAAGAGTCCATGTGTGTGTGCACATGCACACACAATTCCTGTATGCGAGAGCCCTATATGTGCAAGGGGCCATGTGCATCTGTGTGTGCATACCCACCTCATTCCTTTGGTGTCATCTCCTCCCCCTCCATGGCACATCTTGCGCTGTGGGAACACATGCCTCATGGGAGCGTAGCACCAGGATCCCCACTGGGCCAGAAGCCAGGTGCTTTTCCTCTCCCATTCAATGCCCAGAATTGCCTCACCCCCTCATTTGGGCCACTGCTGTTGGGAAGCTCACAGCCCCAAATTCCTCCCCCTACTCCCGCATGGTAGGAAGCTTGGAACTCGGCAGAGGAGACATATCTTGGTTACCTCCCATCTTAAGCATATGCCTGTCTGGTCAAAGGTGAGAGAAAGGGTGTGTATGGATGTCCTGCACTCTCACCTGACCCCTGTGGCTCTGCTGGGACCAGGCCATGGGACAGGGCCTGGGGCAGGAGCAGGGCAGTCGGTGACATGCGGTTTTAACCTGTAGAATCCAATGTCCCACCCTCTCCCACCGCCCCAAAATAGCCCTCCCCACCCCATTCCTGGCCTGGTGCCCTATGTTCCCATGGCCACCGTGGGGCCCTGCCAGCAGAGGAGAATGTGCCTTTAATTGGGTTCAGATGTCTCCCCCCAGAGCCCTCCTCACAAGCTTTCCTACCCCCCCATCCAAAGACGGGTTGTTTGACCCACTGCAAAGGGTGGAGCCTATTCTGAGGCCCAGGAGCTGCTGCCAAGTTCATGAGAAGGTTTCCAGACCCCATTGCCTGCCAGTGCTGCCAGATCCCCAATCCCTTGGCAAGCAGGGGAGAACTGTAGGACCTGGGATCCCGTGCAGAGCCTGGCTTCATTTAGCAGGGCGGCGCTGTGGGGGCTGTGGGGCAGGAGCGCTGGCTGCAGGGGAGGTTCCTCCCCTGGGTCCCCCATCCTGGTGCCGGCAGCCTCCTGCTGAGGGAGTGGATGATGAAAGGGGCAGAGAAAGGGCTTTAAATTAGAAGCAGGTGTTTCTCAGTGCTGCAAATTGGTACAGATCAAGTTACTTTGCGTCTCTCCAAATATTTGTTTCTTTGGGGAGAAGAATTTTCCTGCCCGTGGTTTCTGGAGCAGACGGCTCTGCCCGCAAGACTCTTGCCCCTCTCCCCTCGGAAATGCCTCAGTCCAGGACTCGAACTTGGCACCTCCCAGGACACTTTCTAGTCCACTTCAAACAGAGTGGGTGGGGGGGATGGGGATGAGGATGGGAAGCCTCTACGCACCAGGAGACTTTTAGCCTACATTAGATTTTACCTGTGTCCCCAAGGGAGAGAATGACACGCTGAACAGTATGCGCACGCATCTGTGTGTGCTTGCATGCATGTGCCCATCTGTCCTGCACCCCTGCTGGTGGAGACAGGCAAACTTGTATGTATATGTGTGTTGCTGGCTGGAGGGGATAGACCCTCACCTGTATGCATGTGTGCTTGTGTGCATGGGTGTCCTTCCTGCCCCTTGCTGGAGGAAAAAGGGCCTGAATGTGTGTTTGTGCGAGTCTGTCAACACAACCTTCACTATGTCATCTCTTACCTGTTGCCCTCTCTCCTTGTAGATCTGGATGCCGAAGACCTCCCTGCTTGCTGCACCCTGGGGCTGGGAGACCCCCCAGCCTATGCCTCCCCGCTGGGCATCCCTTGCCCACCTCGCCCAGGAGGGGGTCCCCGGGCTGGCATGCACTCCCCTCCACCCCGCCCTGCACGGGATGACACCTTCGAGAGCCAGCCTGCCCGGCGGGTCCGCCTTGGGGGCAGCTCCCGCGTGCTGGAGTGCCCCAGCATCCAGATCACCACCATCTCCCCAGGCGGTGGAGGGGACTGGGACTGCTCCCCCCGTGACTACCTCTCCCTGGAAGCCTATGGGACGTACCGCGAGGCCCCCCTAGCCTCCGGCTTCTTCACCCCCAGTCCTGCCAGCAGCGGGAGTGCCTCCCCCTGGAGCTTCTTCTCTGACGATGACTGCTCCGCTGGTGACGATGTTGAACGGGAGCTGAATGAAGCAGCAGCCAGATTTGCCCTCAGCTCACCCTGTGGCTCACCCAAGCCCTGGGCCAGCATGGAGGATCCCTGGCCACTCTACACCGGGGCCCGTGGGGCAGAGGATGCCTGGCTGGCCCTGCCCCCACGGCCTACTTCTCCCTGCGGCAAGCGGCGCTACTCCAGCTCAGAGACCCATTCATCCACCTCGCCCTGCCTCTCTCGTCGTGGGAGCTTGGGGGATGAGGGCACAGCAGAAGTAGCGGATGGGGCTGGTGGGGAGGATGCACCCGGGCAGCGCCCACCGGAAAGCATCCCCCAGAAGGCACGCAAGACCTCCACTGAGCAGACGGTGGCACTGACACGGAAGGAGGAGGGAGGATGTAATGGGGAGGAGCCGGGATTTGGGGGCCCCCGGAAGGAAGGGATGGATTATCTGGCTGTGCCCTCCCCTTTGGGCTGGTCCAAGGCGCGGATCGCTGGACACAGCCCCATCTTCAGGTACTGCATCACCATGGGGACAGATAGGGAATGGCGCCTTCTACAGCGTAGTCATCCCTCCCCAATGCTTACCCCCTATACAAACCAGCCACCCCCTGCACAGTGGGGCATGATGGTTGTGGCACCCCCTATAGGAAAAATGCCTTGCACCCCACTCCCAACCCAAACTATCCTTCCTTGGCTCTGAGGCTGGCACTCCCTAAAGAAAGTTCCCCACCCCCTAAGCCAGACAGTGCCTCCTGCCCTGGGGCTGGCAGACCATGGAGAGGAAAAACCCCTGCCCTGCTCCCCATCTCACCCCCCTGGGCCAGCCAGCCCCATCTTGCCAGCGGTTGCCTGGGCCTTTGCCTCAACTGCCAAGGCCTCCTTTGTATAATAACAAGCTGTCAAGCCAGCCCCACGTCAGACGCGCCGGTGTCTTGAATTACAGATCCCAGACCCTGGCTCCGCACGCACATGGGGAGCTGGCATAAACACCGCTCCCAGCTTTGCTGAGCGTACCTCTGACGAGAAAATGGGGCTGGAAAATGTCTGCGGTCTGGCCTGAGCGGGGAGAAACCCCTCCTGTCTGTGCCCCTATGCAGCATGCCCTCCATGCCTCACCCCTGCAATACCCCTTGCAGCACAGCACCCCGTACTGACTCCCTATACTGCTGTTTACAACACAGTGCCCCCTACTAGTTCTCCTACCTGCAGCACGGCTCCTCTCATGCTGAGTTGCCACTCCACTCCTTGCAGCCTGGTGCCCCTGACTGATTCCTGATCCCTTACTTCACCCCTTGCCCTCTTGCATACAGCATGCCCCCTGCTCCTCCTTTCCCTGCTCTTTGTAGTATGGCATCCCCTACTTCACCCCTCCAACACACCTCTCCTTCCAGCATGGCTTGCCCTACTAGCCCCCTCAACCTGCCACTTCCAGAATAGCACAGCCTTTGATTCTCCCCCCACTGCAACAGGTCCTGCTACTGAGTCCCTGCCCCACATCCTATATTGTAGCACACAATATATGTGCCACATATTCAGGCCCCTGGTCATGTTCCCTGCAGCACAGTCCTGTGCCCCCTAACCAGCTCCCCCACCCCTCTGCCTGCAGCATGGTGCCCCTTCAGGACAGAGTGCCTTGGAGACACGTCTTCTCTGATCTGCCCCTTAGGTCGTCAGCTCTTCCTCCCCTGGACTGGCCCCTGCCCAGCCAGTACGAGCAGTATGAGCTGAAGATTGAAGTCCAGCCGCGAAGCCACCACCGTGCCCATTATGAGACTGAGGGTAGCCGGGGGGCAGTGAAGGCCGCCCCAGGGGGGCACCCTGTGGTGAAGGTAGCTGGAGGGGCAGGAAGGGCTGGTGTGGGAAGGCTCCCCTCTCTTTGGGTCTGCTGTGGGAGTGGAAGGAGAGGATGTGCCAGGGAGGTACAAGAGGCTGGATATCTGCCCACCCCCATCCCACCCCAAGGACTGCACTCATGAATATGGACAGGGGTGTCCCAGGAGTTATTGAGTAACATTTGACATTTGCAAGGCCAGGCACAGGTGGGGAGGAATGGGTTTGGGGGAAAAGTCCATCTGTTCCACTGTTGGGTTTGATCGCTTGTCTGTTCTCTATCTCCCCTTTCATCTCTCTGTCTCTTGTCTGTCTGTCCCCTCACTACCGCTCCCTCTGCCCCCTTTCTCTGATCTTCCATTTGTTCTTTCACTATCAAGCTTCTTCCTTCCTTGGGATCCCCACCTCCCATGCCTATGGTTGGTTGGGCTGGGCTATAGAGCCCTATTTGGGCCACCCTGTGATGAAATCCAGAAAACTCAGTGTGGGAGGATGTATGTATGCACATGTAGGGGCATATGTGTAGTGGGTATTTGGTTTGGGTGAACTTGGCAAGGGGGTGGGCCGTGTACATGTGTCTTGTTCTCTAGGTGTATATTGGTTGGGAGGATTGTGTGTGTGTGTATCTAAACAGAATCTGGGTTGGCTTTGCTGGGGTGGGAAGCAGTGTGTGCATGTGCTTGTGTGTGCCTGGGCTGGATATGCCGGGAAGGGGACATATATGTACATGTGAATGCATGCCTGTGTTAGTGTTTTTGTGTGTGCGATGGTTGGAGGGAATCAGTCTGTGTGAATGTCATGATCTGTGTGCGTCTCAACAGAGGAGCTGGGTAGGATTGTGAGGGGAGGGGTTATGTGGGCATGCATGTGTCAAAGGTATGTAGGTTGGGACATTGGGTGGGGGTCAGTCTGTATGTGTGTGCACATGGGTATTGTTTGTGTGTAGAGGAAATACGGGTTGGTGTATGGTGCAGGGGGAAGGGGCAGGGGTTTATCCATGAGCAGTTGTGTGCATGTATGTGTGTCTGCAGGGGTCTGGGTTGGACTAGTGGAGGGATACTGGGGGCATGAGGATCAGCCTGTGCATGTCGTGTTGTGTGCATGGGTACCTCATCTACCTCCCTACTAGATACTGCCCCTCCCCCTGCAGTCCAACTGTAGCCAGGGCTGCAGCAGGCAGCGGAGGAGGGATCCTGGGAGTCTACATGGGAGCAGGGGTGTCCTTTCCCACGCTCCAGCACAGAGACTGGCCTGCACACACACACCACACACACATACACACAGAGCTCAAGGCGCATGCACACATGCACAGACAGCCCCTGTAATCTGCAAATGCACATGTATGCACGCATACACACACACACAAACACCACCCAAGATGCAAACACACATGCATGTGTGTCCCAAAGTGTCCATGCATGCACATATAAACATGCATATACAGACTCCAAACACACACACAGACCACAGGGCTCTGCTCCTCCAGCAAAGGGCAACAGGAATACGTGCATGCACATACACACACTTGGGGATGGAGATCTGTGGGGGATGGGGTCATGTCTATGGGGATGGGAGCAGTCTATATGTGGGTTGGAATGTTGTTTGTGTGTGGAGATGTTTGGGGAGGATGCATACGTGTTTTTGGGCACGTGGAGTGGGTTCATTGTTTGCATATGTGTGCATGTGGTTGGTGGGGGTGGAGTAGAATATTTGTGTGGAGTGGGTGGGATTGTGTGTGCATGTGCACAGTGGTGGGATTATGCATGTTTTCTGTGTGTGCATAGAGTGGCTGGGAATAGGGGTGTGTGTATGATTCCATATATGAAATGAGAAGGTGTATATATGTAGTTGTGTTTGTGCATGGTGGGATAGGCTTATGTAAATGTGGGTAATGGGAGGTGTTGCCCATGTGTGCTTATCTAGTGGGCAGGGGTGGTGTGTTGGTATGGATCAGGGCTAAAAACACATCTCTATGGAGCCAGAGTTTGTGTACATGGTGTAGTCACAGTTGTGCATGTGTTTAGTAAGTATGTAGAGTTGTGTGCACATGTGTACTGAGTGTAATGAGTGGGAACTGATTTGTGGGTGTAATGAGTTTGTGTGTAATAAGTGGGGATGGAGTTGTGGGTGTGCAGCAGTAGGTGGGGGTGTTGATTTAGGAGGTAGGGTCATATGCATGTGTGCATGTGTGCATAGTAGGTGTGGTTGTGCAAGTGTTTTTAGTAGGTAAGGTTGTGTGTGCATGTGCATGTAGGACCTGGAGTCCTTCTTGGCAGGCTCCTTCCATCTTGTGTGCGGGTGGGGGGGAGGGGAGGAAGGAGGGGGAACCACTCATCCCCACTGCCCCCCTCTGCCCCCGCCTGCCCAGAATATTCCATTTCGCACAACCCAAAGGGAGGTGAAGCAAAAGGGTTATTTTTCCTCCCTGTTATTCCTTCCCTTGCTCCAATTGAGTCCAGCTGTGCATCCTAGCCACTGATCAAAAACATCTGGGCTGGCCCTGGGGCCAGACCACCGAACCACTGACGTCGCCCCGCCCTGGCTGGGCCGGGCCAGCCGCCAGGCTCCGGGGTGTGTGTCAGGGGCCAGACACGCAATGCGGCTATGCTCCAACCCAAGTGCTCTTAAGGGAGAGAAACTGAGTCACGCAAGGCTCCTGCATTGCTCCCCCGTTACAGTTTTTCTCCTTGGAATAAGGCAAACCCAACACCCCCAAAGCGAAAGGAATCCAGTCCAGGATTTCCCTGGGTTTTTCTTCCCATTCCTTGCCCTCATTCCATGGTTAACCCAATTTGAGTTTTGCCTGCCCCCGTTCTTGTTCTCCTTTGGGGAACCAATCCAGGTTTTCCCTGCACGCCCTCTCCCTGCAATGGATTATCTAATCCAGGCCTGCCATGTGCTTTACTATTCCCAAAGGACTGTTCCCTTTACTACAATGAGAGAAGATTGGATGAGAGGCCAATCTCTAGGTGAGGTATTCCCTTCACTGACCCCGCTCAAAAAATGGGTGGGGGGATCCAGTCCACATTTTTCCTACCTCTCCCACTTCCTTTGGGGAAATCCAGCCTAGGATTTCCAGGCCACCCTCTCATTGGAATAACCAGGATAGTAGATCCCAGGGGGAGCAGATCAGACTCCATTGGCAAATGGATCCTGACCTGGGTCCTCTCTTCCATTTCCAACCCCCTGCTGTAACAGCTCCTGGGCTACGATGAGAAGCCGCTGACCCTGCAGATGTTCATTGGGACAGCTGACGAGCGCAACCTGCGGCCCCACGCCTTCTACCAGGTCCATCGGATCACTGGCAAGATGGTGGCTACCGCCAGCTATGAGACTATTGTCAACAGCACCAAGGTGCTTGAAATGTCCTTGCTCCCCGAGAACAACATGGCTGCCAAGTGAGTCCTGGGGAGTGGGCGCCTTTGGGGTTTTCTCCCTATGCCTGAGTCCATTTCTGTGGAGGAATGAGATCCGGTTCTTGGTTTAGTACCTATGTGGAGATGGTGGCATGATGCTCCCATCCCCATGAACATAACCCTATCCCCAACACATCCCCATCCCCAGATTTTTACCCATTTTGGGCGTAGGAGGTATGGCACCCAGAGTCCAATCTGGGAGTGGGGAGGGCACATAAGCCTGATGCCAAGTTTTCCGTACTACTTTCTCCATCACAAAAATTACAGTCCCAGATCCACATGGTTGGGGCCATAATCCAGTACCAGGGAAAAGCTAGGATTTCTGTCCCTCCAAGGTGGGGCCCACAGCAGAGTCCATCCTGGGTTTTTGCCCCAGATAAGTGACTTAGTAGCTCCAATCCACATTCCAGCTCCAGGATTTCCAGGGGCTGGGGGTGGTAAATGGCAAAGGGTAAATGGAATCTCCAAGGTGAGGGGTAAATTAGCAAAGGGTAAATGAGGACTCTCCCGTTCCAGTGACTACCCCCTCACTGCCCATTTACCCCTACCCCAGCATTGACTGCGCAGGGATCCTGAAGCTGCGTAACTCAGACATTGAGCTGCGGAAGGGCGAGACGGATATTGGACGGAAGAATACGAGGGTCCGGCTAGTCTTCCGGGTCCATGTGCCCCAGGGCAATGGCAAGGTGGTGTCCATCCAGGTGGCCTCAGTCCCCATCGAGTGCTGTGAGTGCACTGCTATTAGGGGGATGCTGTGGGCATGTTCCCCTGAGGAGCGTGCTGGGAGACGGGAGGTGAGATGGCCCATGGTGGCAGCAGGGTGTATGAAGCGGGCACCCCTTAGGGATCATGCTGCAGAGTGCCTAGTTTCGTGGGGGAAGCCCTGTGGTGGGTGAGGTGGGTACATTATGATTATGGCATCCCTGGGGGCATGCCCAGGGGTCATGGAGCCAGGTCCCCATATGGCACTCTACTAGGAGTGGGCAGTTTTGCAAGGACCTATAGAGCCAGTATCCCCAATGAGGTAGTCTGTGGATGGATCTCTGGGCTTAGTACTAGGGGCTGGTCCCACTAGGTGTGCCGTGGGTCCCTGCGGGTATTTCCCTTGAGTGCTGCTAGGGTAGGGACTTGGACCTGATAGGAGCTGTGGGGAGGGTAGCAATGCTATTGGGCTGGGCCTCAGACTGCCTCTTACCCCCAGCCCAGCGCTCGGCTCAGGAGCTGCCCCAGGTGGAGAGCTGCAGCATCAGCGCAGGATCAGTGCGTGGTGGAGAAGAAATGGTGCTGGCTGGTGCCAACTTCCTGCCTGACTCTAAGGTCATCTTCATTGAGAGGGGTCCTGGTGAGTGATCCACCCCATGTAACCCCCATGCACCTCCCTGATCCCATCATCTACTCCCTATACCCTAGAGATACCCCAGGACCTCTTTGTCCTCCCCCTCCCTGCGCGATAGGCAGACCTCATCAGTCCCTGCCTCAGTTATCCCGAGACCTCCATGCTCCCTATTCTCCCATCACCACCTCATAGCTCCCTCCACAGTTTCTTGCCTCCACCAACCCCTTTCCCAGGGAATCCCCCTCCTCTCTCTCCAACACCCCTCCCTGTTTCCCCACCTCATCTGTCCTCCCCCATCTCTGAGGCTCCGCCCCTTGGTGGCCTCTGATCCAATCTCCTCTGGTTGCAGATGGGAAGCTCCAATGGGAAGAGGAGGCTTGCATCAATCGGCTCAAGAGCAATGAGGTAAGGAAAAGATGGGTTGGAGCCTCTTGAGAGTGGGTGGAGGCAAAGGGATCCTGGACTGGATTCACCCATGCTGGATCTGGTTTTGGAGCCACCTGGGGAAAAAGTGTGGATAGGCAGAAATCCTGGACTAACTTCACTTAGGGGCCATCATGGGGGAAGTCCTGGACTGACCTAATGTAGGGCGAAGTGGGCAGATGGAGGAAGCTTCTGGACCAGATACCCCTAGGGCAGAGCTTTCCAAACTGTGTGCCGCGACACATTAGTGTGTCGGCGGCAGTGTGTAGGTGTGTCGCGCGAAATGCAGAAAATTTTGCGGAAGGGCACCACGGAGCTCCCTTACTCACGTCTGCTTCCCTTGGCCCCTCCCCCGGAACTGAATTACTGTGTCGTGAAATGATGCATGTCGCAAAAGTGTGTCACCAACATGAAAAGTTTGGAAAGCTCTGCCCTAGAGGAATAGAGGTGGGAGTTGGGGAAGTCTCAGCCTGATTCCACCTAGTGGAAACAGAGCTATTTGGTGGGAAATCCAGGCCTGTGTTCATGCATGCATGCATGCAGGGGTGAGATAATGCGAGCCTTGAACTTCCTCCTAAAAGAGGGCAGGGGTGTGGTGCAAGGGCAAAGAAAATCCCAGCCCAGTTCCACCTAGCCTGGGTAGTGCCTGGGCCAGGGGTGGGGGAATTCCTGGGCTGGCCTGGGGGGAAGTGGGCAGAGACTCAAGAAATCTTGGACTGGGGCTCTAGACACCCTGCAATGGTAATGAAGAAATCCTGGGCTGGATTCCCCCTAGGTTGAAGCGAGTGTGGCTAGCAGAAATGCTGGGCTGGATCAGTTTGGTGGGAGTGGGGTTGAGACAGGAGAAAGTCCATATTGAATCTATCCAAAGTAGTGGTGTGAGGGTAGTGGAAATCCTGCCATGGATCCACTCCTGAAGGAACAGAATGGATAGAAGGGAAAATCTGGACAGGATCTCTCTGGATCTGGGTCCCTCAAGTGAACTGCCTTTTTAGGTGCTCCCCAGACACTCTTCTCTTCTCCCACTAGACCACGCTGACCCTCACGGTCCCCGAGTACAACAATACCCGGGTGTCCCGTCCTGTCCAGGCCTATTTCTACGTCTCCAATGGGCGTCGGAAACGCAGCCCCACCCAGTCCTTCAAGTACCTGCCCAGTGAGTGTGTTGGGGGACATGGGGATGGTAGGAGGGAGGGGAGAGAAGGATAGGGGCAGGAGACATGGGTGTGGGGGAGGGAAGAGGGGCTGCCTTCAGGCGGCGGCGGGGGG